AAAGAGCTCTACCTGACTGAGGGCAACCGGAAGGTCATCCGGACGCGAGACCTGCAGCCGTACCCGGAGAGCTCCGAGAGGTTCGACTGCTTTGCACAGGTGCTCTGCAGGGAGGCGCTGTCTGGGAGCCGCTTCTACTGGGAGGTGGAGTGGAACGGAGAGTTCTCCGTGGGGGTCACTTATAAGGGCATCAGCCGCAAAGGGAAGGGCTCCCTCTGTCTGATGGGCTATAACAAAAAGTCCTGGAGCTTACTCTGCTCCGACTCAGGCTATTCCGCCTGGCACAACAGGGTGGACAACACCATCAGCGCCCCGCACTGTCCCAGGATTGGGATCTACCTGGACCACGCCGCTGGCATTCTCTCCTTCTTCAGCATCGGCGAGACCATGAGCCTCCTACACAGGTTCGAGACCACGTTTACAGAGCCCGTCTACCCTGGGTTTGGAGTGGGAACCTCTGTCAAAATATGTCAGCTCAAATGACGGAAATCCGTGCAGAAACAGCTTTGAAAAGTAAATCCCTCGTCCCTTCTCACCTTTTTCTGGTGCTTTTTTTTATAGTTCGTCTCTTCCTGTTTATCTGTCAGGATCCTTCAGTAAAACAGTTTAAATTGAGTCTTGTACGTTTTTTTTTAATGAGAAATTGTTTAAGAGCCTGAAAATGTGCTGGAAACTTTCATACAAGCTTGTTTAAAATGTTCATCAGTATTCTTACTCGGAGTTCATGGTTTTTATGGAGTTTTTATGTCTTTACTGTATCCTTCAGTATATGAACTCGGTAAACAACAGGTTAAATCTACATAGCCAAAGAATCAATTGTATAATTCTAATGCAAAATGTATTTAAAACAAACAGTTGGTGTATTGGTAAATCAGCAATAGCTTTTGCCGTTTTCCTATAATGTCTCATAATCACCTCATAGCAAGGCTTATAGACCAATTTTAGTTATGGAAAAAGTACGTGTTTACTAAGTTGCCTTTTCATGATATCTACTGAATTGTTGTTTGCATTTTGTGTGTGTGTGTTTTTTCCAAAATAAAAGGAATCACCTCTCCACCATGTTTGTTCGGTGTTGTTGTTGCTCCGTAAACATAAAAACCATGGCATTGTTGATATGACTATAGGCAGGATAATTACATGATAGCATGGTCAAGGTACAGGCTGTAATGAGGAGACGCCAGACTCACACTGTTCATGTGCTGAGGCATCAGAAACGCTGATCTTCACCAGTCCTGTATGTGCAGTAGAGAGTGACATTGCACTTATATATACCCATACTACCCATACTACTTACTCATAATGTTTCATAACTACACATACAGACGTGGACAAATTTGTTGGTAACTTTACAGCTCATTAAAACAATGCTTCATTTCTCCTGAAAGGTGATTCAATTAAAAGCAATTGTCTAATGTATACCCGCATGCCTTTAGTATGTGATAGAGTAAACCAATAAAATTGTGAAAAGATTTGTTTTTTATTTTACAAATATATGCTAAAATAGTATGGACAGATTTGTTGGTATCACTAAAGAGACTATTTCGCCTTGCATTACAGTCATTCAAACTAAGTGTTTAACCTTAATTAGTATCACAGGTGCCTTCAAGCTTTTCATCAGCCATTCAGCATATTTAAAGGGAAAGAACATGCTACTGTGTTGGTTGGTATCATTGTGTGCACCACACTGAACATGGACCAGAGACAGTAGAGGAGAGAGCTGTCTGAGGAGCTCAGAAAGAAGATTATAGATAACCATGTTAAAGGTAAAGGCTATAAGACCAACTCCAAGCAGATTCACGTTCCTGTGACCACAGTTAATATTATTAAAAAAAGTATAAGGTCTGTGGGACTGTAGCCAACCTCCCAGGACCTGGACGCAAGAGGAACTGCAAGCCCAGGTTGATCATAAGGATAGTGCAGATAGTAGAAAAAGAGCCAAGGAAACCATCCAAAATCATTCTAGCTGAGCTCCAAGATCATACATCACTTTCTGATCGCACCATCCATTGCATTTCGAACAATAATGGGTTCCATGGAAGAAGACCCACTCGGGCTCCACTATTGACAGAAAAACATTTAAAAAGCCAGAGTGGGATTGGCCAAAATGCATGATGACAAACCCCAAAGTTTCTGGGGGAAAGGCATTTGGACTAATGAGACAAAACTGGAGCTCAGCCTCAGTCACAGGTCATGGGTCCTCCAACAGCTAAAAGCACTGAAGAATGTGAGAAACATTGGACTATTCTTAAATAGCCCTCCATGAGCCCAGATCTTAATCCTATTGAACATCTATGGAAAGATCTGGAAATTGCAGTGTGGAGACGCCACCCTCCAAACCTGAGGCAGCTTGAGCAGTTTGCTCAGGAAGTGTGGGCCAGACTACCTGCTGGCATATGCAGACGTCTTTAAGCAAATGAAAGGAGGAAACATGTTGATATTTCAGGGCAGTAACTAAAAGAAATATCATAGATATGTAGTAAGATTTTTTTCCAACCGAGTTCAATTGTGCTACCAGACCTAAGCCTATTAAAACTATTTCACAGTAATACAGCGAAGCAAGTGGCAGTTTTGAAATTATACGTTTCGTTGCAGTTGAATGAAAACCACGTCTGCAAATTTATATTGTATTTTATTGAATTAGATCAGTGTACATGTTAACCATCTATGAGCTGAGAACACTTACATGTCTGTAATAAACTGTGTTCCACCAAACACATGAAAAAAAAAACATACAGGTTCACTGGTCCTGTAAGCCGTCCATTAAACTCATCTATTTGCACTACGCTGCACCCAGGACTGTTTTTCCCACAGAGAGAAAGTTTAATGCAGCTAAATATACCATAACAGTAACCTTGAATTTCCACATTTCTCATTCCCATTTACAGGCAAATGAACCTAACTTGAATCATAAACAATGATTTCCACATTAAGCCTTTTCCTCTCCATATAAACACATGGTAACATTGTAGACCCCTCCACAAATCGCCACCTTACCATGGGGGAGGGGTTTGTGTGTCCCAGTGATCTTAGGAGCCATGCAGTCGCGGTTAATTGCCCCTGAGAGGGTCTCCCATGGCAAATAGGTTCTAGATGAGGGACCAGACTAAGAGCAATTAGAATACCCCTTATGGAACACAACAAGAAGGAAAAGTGAGACCGGGGCCCTTCCCTGAAGATAGGGCTGGGGGTGGGCTTGTCTGCAAGCACTGGAAGGTTAGGTGTTCACCCATGGGGCCCGGTCAGGCCCAGCCTGAATGAGCCACATGAGACCATTCTCCTGTGGGTCCACCATCTGAAGGAAGAGCGATAAAGGTCTGATCTAGCGGAGGTCGAAGGCAGATGCCTAGGTGGACTGATCCTCTGCTACCAAAACTGGAGATACCGACTAGATTTAGTCAGGCTCACCTCACGCCACGGCTCAGGCCCTGGAACCAAACTCCTGGAGAGGGGCTGGACTCTAATCCCCCATGAGTTGCCCTGGATGAGAGATGTTAGGCAGGTATGGGTCTATTCATAGCCCCCCAGTCTGGCACTTACACGTTGGAGTTCACCCCAGAGGATGAGAGGTTTGCCTCACTTTGACTTCGAGTCTGGGGACAGGGAGTATATGCACCAAACATCAGCTCAGAGTATCCAGACTTCTTGGAGACAGTGGGTGTGGTACTGGAAGATACTTGGGTAACAATTTCGAAACCTGCCCGATCTGAACCTGAGCAGTGGTCTGTTATTGGACTTCCACACTAATCACTATTTATCCATAATGAACACCATATTAGAAAAAAAGGATGTTCATAAATGCACCTGGCATCAAAGCACCCTAAGCCACAGCTCAATGATCGATTTTGTAGTCAGCTCATGGGATCTGTGACCAAATGCCTTGGACCCCCAAGTAAAGAGAGGAACTGAGCTGTCAACTGATCAGAGTTGGATCAGATGGCGGACGAAAATGATGGACAGACCAGGTAAACCCAAACACATGGTGAGGGTGTGCTGGAAGTGTCTGGTGGAGGCCCCTGTCTGGGAGATCTTCAACTCACACCTCCAGCAGAACTTCTCTTGCATTCCGGGAGAGGCTGAAGAGCGCAAAAGGACAATGTTGTGTACCTCCATTACTGAGGTGGCTGCACAGAGCTGAGGCCATAAGGTTATTAGTGCCTGTCACTGCGGCAATCCTCCAACCCAGGGGTGGACACCAATGATAAAAGGGGGTATCAGGCTGAATGAAGAATGAGGATCAGAAGCTCCAAGTCTGAGACCATCGTTCTCAACTGGTAAAGGGTGGATTGCCCCCTTCAGGTTGAAACTGAGGCACTTGTTCATGAGTCAGGGAAGAATGGACCAGAAAAACAGGCAGATCAATGCAGCATCAGCGTCTATGCAGACATTGTACTAGTCGGTCGTGGTAAAGAGAGAGCTGAGCCGAAAGGCGAATCTGTCAATTTACCAGTCAATCTGCATTCCAAACCTTACCTATGGGTAGTGTCCGAAAGAATGAGGTCACAGATTACATGCAGCGGAAATGAGCTTCCTTCTTAGGGTGTCAGGGTGAAGACCTTGAACATCTGGGAGAGGCTCAAAGTAGAGCTGCTGCTCCTCTGCATGGAAAGGAGCCAGCAAAGGTGGCATCTGTCTAGGATGCCTTCTGGATGCGGCCCTGGGGAGGTGTTTTGGGCATGTCCAACCTGGAGGAGACTCATTGATTGGAAATGCATAATGTAATAATTATTGTCTTATGTTAAGCGCATGGGAGTTAACGATTGAAAGCCAAAGTGTTTAGATTACAGTATTAACTGGCGGTAAACTAACGGAATACATTACAAATGAAGTTTTAGAGCATGCATTCAGTAATCTTTAACGGAATACATTTATTTACTCATATCTGACATTTTAAGGTAAATCCACATTGATGCAGATTACCAGAAACGCCATGCATGCCGTACTTATTTAATCTTTTTTACATATTTATTGCTGTGTTGCGGTTGCATTATGGGAAATTGAGTCCGACAGAGAAGCACTATCGTGTGTAAGATGACAGCAAGCGCTACTATCGAGTTTTGTATATTGCTCTAATGAAGTATGGTAAACCAACCCTGATTCAGTGTTAATTTTTGTTGGTACAAGAGATATCTTGAGAAACGCCTGCGGTTTCCCACCACACGAATCTGCACTAGCGGAGCGCCGTTCGATTTACCTGGTGGCCGGGCGCCTTGGAGACGGACGAGCGGGCAGGACGCTTCGGCTGAATTCAGTTTCGTTTTGTTGTTGTGTAATGTTCACATCCACATCGTAGAGTATAATCAGCACACTGATGACATGTTTAAGGCAAAGATACTGGTTATCGGACCAAGTGAGGTAAGGCGAGTACGAGCAAAACACACCGGGTTGTTAGATGGGAGAAACGGGGGTTTACGTCGATGAAAACATTCCTGATCTATTTAAAGTGTATTTCTGCTAATTATGCTGTTTTATAACCCGTCTTTACCCTTTAACAGAGCGGCAAGACGGCACTGTCCGACTTTCTGTCGGATGCCACTGAGACTATAGGAGGCGAGTACCGGCCGACACAGGGCGTCAGGTAAACTAACCGACATTATTGTATAAAGTACATCATCATTATCCCCGCGTTTCATAGCTCCCACGTCCACTCCACTGTTTGTGTGTGGAGTTCACATGGTGCAGATTTTCCTCAAAGGCATGCAGTTAAGCAAACTGGTGTCTCTGAATAAACCATAGAGTATGATTGTATGTATGTGTTTGTATCTTCCTTGTGATGGACGGGAATCCCATCCAGGGTGTCCCCTGCCTTGTGTCCTGTGATGGACTGGCATCCTGTCCAAGGTGTCCCCTGCCCTGTGATGGACCAGCGTCCTATCCTGGGTGTCCACTGCCCTGTACCCCATGGTGGACTGGTGTCCCATCCAGGGTGCCCCGTGCCCTCTGATGCACTGGCATCTCGTGAAGTCCAGGCTTATCCAGGACTGGTTAAAAGATGGATGTTCTGAATCACCTTGCTGTTAATGAAGAGCTGTCTCCCTGATTTTCTCCATGTGAACATAGCATTTTGAACAGACACCTGGTGTATGTGAATAATCATACTGTATGTGGGCTGCTGATTTGTGCTTAATCACTACCTGTTCATTCCCTCAGGATTCTGGAATTTGAGTCGCAAACTTTGGATGCCAGTGACAAAAACGCGACCCTCGACGTGGAGCTGTGGGATTGTGCTGGAGATTTTAAGTAAGGCCGGCATGCAAATGCTAAATAATCTGCTGTAATCAACCAGGTGTGCCCTAGAATCATGCAGATTTATCTCCCCATCGGAGGCTGGAACCTGTCCTAGAGAGCATTGGACACAAGGCTGGGGACACCTTGGATGAGATGCCAGTCCATCACAGTGCACATACACTAAGTTTTTTTTGTTGTGAGCCTTTTAAAATTGTGTAGAAGTGATTACTTTTTTAGTCCTGATATTAGTGATGTATATTGTTTTAGTGTCAGTTATGTCAGTTATGTGTGTTTACTTTCTCACATTCTATAGGTTTGAATCCTGTTGGCCTGCGCTGATGAGAGATTCCAATGGGGTACTAATTGTGTTTAATCCGGACGTGTCCAGCCACCTGAGAGAAATGGAGACCTGGCATTCGTCTTTCGTTTCCTCGCAGGGAATGCAGGAGAGCCAGTGTCTCCTGATTGCACACCACAAGCCAGGAAGCTCAGCTGACAGGGGACACCCAGCGCTCGGTAATGAGCAGTCACTGCAGTGTAGCTCCTACTGTATGTTTACCGTAAAGCTGTTATGCTGCTGTTCACTTAACAGCACTTAAAGAAACTGCAGCCTAGGTAGCAATGACCTGGGTTGGGTCATCCTTCTAAATGCCTGTTTAATTACCAGTCACATTCTGTTGATTTCTCCATACAGCCTCACATTTAAGCAAACTCTCCATGATCCACTCCAACCTGGAGGAGGACCCAGAGCAAATGAGACAGGCGTTCCGGAGATACCTGGGATCCATAGTGAGGATGATGTCGGAAAGCCGTGAGCGTGAGGAGATGTCAATCATCACATAGCATCAACGGAGCTAAGCACAATGGAGACTGGTCCATACTGTGGCAAACTTCGATATTAAATGTTTCGATCACTGCTTGTCAATCATTAAGTGTTTCTGTCACTTTTCTGCCTTTGCTAAACAGGGATGAACATAGAATATCTAAAGCATACAGGGAATGAGTGAAGGTCTTTCTTAGCCAAGCTTAGAGAGGGAAAATCTAGGGTGTAACTGAATTGTTCCAGAATCAAAACTGCCTGACAGAAATAATAAAATAAATCGATCTTGATTATTTTTAGTATAACCACAGAAAGACATTTATTTTTTATTGACTAAACAAACAAAGAAGAAACACCCCACGGTCACAGAACCCCCAGCTACCACCCTCCAGGGGATCAAATTAAGTCCATTTTAATCTTAAGATCAGTGATGATCCAGCATGCTACTTTTCTGCGTGATTCCTTGCATCACGTCTCGCACATGTTTCACGGTCCGTGTCATAAAGGCGAGGCTCTCCTGCACGTCCCCCAGGCCCCCCTGCATCCAGGACGCCCGCAGCTCCCCAATCCACCGCAACAGGCTGTCCAGGTCCTCCTGCACTTCCCTTTGCTCTTCCAGTTCGGCCAGCAGGGCCTGTCTGGCGCACACCTCCGCCTGGTAGCACTGCTGCAGCTGTCCTAGCTCCCCCTCCAGTTCTAGCAGCTCCTGCATGTCCCGAGGCTGCTCCTTATGCGGGCCATCCTCAGGCAGCAGCACGTTGGGGGGGACTGACAGCACGCTGTCCACCAGGAGTGTGTCCATGCGACTGGACAGGCGCTGGATGCGCTCCTGCAGAAACGCATGCAGCTTGGAGGTGCACTCCCTGGCCTGCTGGCTCAGCTTTTCTGGTGGCTTTTCCCCAGCTAGTTTTCTAACGAAAACGGCCTCCACAGTCATCAGGATGTCATGCAGGCAGTCCTGGAAGGCGCTGTAGATCCGCAGCATGCAGGTCTGCGGTGTGAAGCCGAAGAACTGAGCCTCGTACAGTTTCAGAGTCTCGGGAGACAGCGGCATTGCTGAAAAATAAACAACAATCAATCGGAGAAAGTGTAAAAAATAGGCGTTAACTGATTATGTGGCTATAGATAAACTTAATTTCTTAATGTTTTAAAGATTAGATTAATTTTTATTGATCCGGAGGGAAATTCTACCCCGTACAGCAGCAAGGCACGCAAAGTGCTGACTAACAAATATACAGTTCAAAACAAGACGTAAAGTGCACTGACAGTAAAGTATAAAAAGTACACAGTATAAACAGACACAGAGATACCCTTAAAAAAGAATATTAAGTAAATTAATTAATGGAAAATGTATGTGCAATCAGACAGCACCGGCTAAACTTAGTGAGGTAGGTAGTGATCTAGCCAGCTAATTCATTTATGCATTTCGTTGCCGCCACGACACTACCTACCAGTAATGCATAACTCACACGTTTTTAAGAAACAATCATAAAACAGCATTATTACCTTCAATCCCACACTCGGCCATTTTCTGCGTCTCCCGCGCACGCGTACGTCAGCAATCCTCGCTTCTGTTCGAAGTTCCCTCGCGATGGAAAGCGCATGAGAAGTGCAGCCAATCATAGCAATTCGTGCGCGTTACTCCTTGGCCAATCGGCTTAGGGAAGGTCACGTGTCTATATAGTGAAACCCCATGTAGTTTCGAAATCTGTTTCCTATGTTCTGCGTTGTTGTAACATATATTAGTATATAATATATTACGAGCTTAATCAGCCAATCATAAAATTTAAGTACTATTAGTTTAAACGCTATGTTCTAACTGATATTCATTTATTTTTTTATTAATTTTGTTTAAAGTGATATTTCCGTACATTAATTTCTCTTATGTGTACAATCTAGCATAGGCTACCGCGCCCTTTCCCGTTCAATCCGTACTGGCGCTGTAAACGTAATTCCTGGTTGACAACACACTAGTTAGGGTACATAAACACGTAAGCACTAATAGGCGCCAACGATCGAAGGGCCCACACGTTTTATTCCGAATTTTATTTTAACAATAACAACATAAACAATATAAACAAGCGCACATGTGTTTAAAAAGAAGATAAAATACATCTGGATACAAGAAATAAATTTAATAGCGGCAATATATAGTTCAAAATGCTTATTTTTACATTTCAAAATAACCTGAATTTTGAACATGAATTTCGACCTAGTACAATGATCACATTCATAACAAATAATAATTCTAGATTATTTCTACTAGTAATATAACATTACTATCTAGTTCTTTAAGATAAATATGAAAATTGGTTTGTATTTTAATATAAGTTAATTTGCAAATAAAGCCAGAAGGATTTTAATGGAGGTCGTAACCAAAATAAGTGTTGAATAGCTTTGTGTCTGATTTTGTGAAACAATTTTCTTCTATATACATTTTAAATTGATGCATAATAATTCCTGCAGTGTTATGCAGTGTAGCACACACAACAATAACAGCACAGCAGCATATGGGGAAATATTAGAATTCCAAAGGACTTGTGTAAGCACCAGAATCACATTTTCCCCATGCCCAAAGCACCCCCTACAGCAGTGTGTGTTCTTTGCTGTTCTTTCCTCTCCTCAGCCACAGTGTTTAATCCGGACGTGTTCAACACTGTAGTGAGCTGGTATTCACTAAGAGGATACCTGATGTCTCCCAATAACCTGCCACCAGCAAACTATACTCTGAAGAAATCCCCAAGGTACAAACATCATTAATGTACCCACAATTGTACAAAAATGTTCCTCACAGTCCATTTCTGTACTTTGAAAGGTACAATTACCTACAGCTATAGGGTACAACTGGCGGACCATTGAGGGTACAGCCCCAGTGATAAGCAAAGGTACAAATTGGTATTCTTATTTCTGACACTGCAGTGGACTGGGGGCAAAATTCCAAATTCAAATTCTTTTCAATTTATCCTGCACCAGAACAAGTAGGCTCATTATTTCACCCCAAGCCAGCCTGTTTTTTTGCTATGAATTGTTCATTACTGAGATGGAGTTAATGTCCAACCACAAAACATCATTTAGACAAGCAAATTGGCTGCCTGGATGGTGCTGTCTTGAACGCCATGTGCTGCACAATTCTCTGCCATTGCTAGTCGTGAGGGATGACTCACCTTCCCAATTCATAGAATGCAACTGGACACACAGCAAGTTAGATTTGTTAGCTCAATATGTACCAGGGTTGTTCAAAATTTATGAATTGAGCCCCATTCCATTCATGAATTGGAATTTGAATTGAATTGGCCATACCCTGTAAAATGATTCATTGGAATGACAGTAAGAATTTCATTCACTTCAATCCAAATTCAATGGAATCACACAACACAGGAATGTTTAATCTAGCAAAACATAAATACAGTGGAACCCACTTATAGTGATCATGGTTATAGTGATCAACAGTTTATATGGACCAAAAAGCTTGGGACAGAATCATTCCTGTACAAATAGTTTTTAAAATAATTTGCTTATAGTAATCAAGTAGTTCGCAAACAAAGTGGACAACGGCGCACAATCTGACGTTTCGAGCCAAAAACTCTGTTTTCCCTGTCTACATGTCAACGCTGAAAACGGAGTTTCTCAAAATCTTCACCTTGGATGGAGACGTTCCGTTTTCAGTGACCTAAGACGCCATTTACGTGTGGACAAAAGCCCAAGACGTATAGAAAAAGGTACGTTTTAAAAAATACCCGTGTACGTGTGGACAAGGCATAAGCGTTACAAAGCACCCCATACTAAAAAAACGTTTGAGGGGATTGTAAGTAAAACTTAAAATAAAGATGTTTCTCAACTTAAAATTTTACATTTGTTACATCTTCCCATCTTATTAAACAACTTAATTGTATAAATTGGCCAAAATTAACAATAAAGAATACTCTGTCAACTTAATTATAAATGTATTTGAAGAAATATTTTTGTCCTCCATTAACATCTGAAAAATGCTACTGTACTGAAACTTCTGCAAGTGAGTTTCATCTGCTCAGAAACTTTGGCCGCTTCGCACCAGGCACTTTTGGTACAGTACTTTCCCTTTTCCATTGATTTATAATTTCCGTGCAGAATTTAAAATAAGCCTGATCTAACTAACTAGCGATGTAAGAGTTTAAGAGTGCAGTATACTTATTATATGATCATGATCTAGGCTTAATTTTCAAAATACACTCCCATCTACGAAGAGAAAAAATGTTCATACATTAAGTGACCATGCATGTATAAGAAGTATCTGTTTATAAAACCTATCAAGTTTCAAATGGATATTCCCAATATCAAAATTATAATTAAGCAAGAACTCTATACTCCATACTTTTAGAAATATTTAATTAGGAATTATATATAGTATACTTTATTTTAAAAAATAGCTCTATCCGTTTTATTTTAAATATACCATTAGATGTTATAAAATCTAACACATTTAACCCCCCTTTTAACTGTGGTCAGTAAATATCTTTTTTAAGATAATGGTGTTTATTCTTCCAAATACATTGAAAACGCGTAGTAAATTTTCCTTATAAATGGAGGTACGTGGTACATCCAAAACTAATACAGCATACACCAATCTAGATAAACCCTCAAAGCTAGATAATCTGCCGTATAAAGATAGGCCTCAGTAACAATGCATAATTTTTTAAACATTTCAACTTATAACAGTAGAAAAACTGAGATCTAACATTGCAACCATCAAAAAGTTAACGCTCGAGGCGATATGTTGGAAATCACCACAACGCTTTGCCATTTTCACAAATTTTCAGTGATTTAAGTAACTTTCCAAATGTGTTTCAAAGACAGAAAACAATAGCTTGAAACTGACAGAACAGCAATTTATATGGTATTATGTTAGAACAATTAGAACGTTAATAATACAAGCCTAATCTGGCAATAATTTCATCTCATTTGTTTGTTTGTTTTGGATTAATTCCAACGTGCTCATATCTACTGGCGCTTCGTATATACGGGTGTCTGACACGTCAGCGCGTGTAAAGCCATACGTGCTGACGTGTCATACGTGCTTACGCTTCATACGTCTGGACGTTTCCTCCGCCCTGTGATGACGTGGCCGGTGAGTGCCGGAAGCGCCCAAGCTGTCTAAAATGGCTTACCAGACATTCCAGCAGGAGTATTTACAGATTCCTATTGTGACGAGGGCATATACTACAGCCTGCGTCCTCACCACAGCCGCCGTGGTAAGATGGCCAAAGCCGCCTTTTGACCCTCTTTTGTTTAAGCCAGGTCGTTGGCCTGTCATACACTTAGATCACAGAATTCTGTTCCTGATGGCTGTCCTATGTAGCTAGCTGGTATTATCTCTGAGCAAGCAGCCAAAATGGATATAGCGATTCGATTAGACTAAATTCCACTTTATTGTAATTGTATAAGTCCTCGGACAGTGAAATGTAGTTTGGCATTTAATCTGAAAGTGCGAAATAGTGCAAAAGTGTTAGAGACAGCTGTACAATATAAACACGTGTGATAAAGAGTGAATGTACATTCCTACAGTGGTATATAAGAAGAAAGACAGTTTCTTTGCATATACATACATATACATATAACATTTGAAGGTAACACTTTACTTGAGGCAGAAATACTTAGTAATAATCCGGTTACTACTGAAGTACAAATCATGAAGAAATAGTTGCTGCTTGATCACGATTCATTAATGATGAACGAACATGTGATCAGTATGTCACATTGTGTCATTTATTACTTGTTCCTTCAGTAATTGCTTAGTAGTTTTTTCAGTAGTTCACAAAGGTTTGCAAAATTAATAGATAGAATAGATAGAAACACGTACAGTAACTACTTCAGATAAAATATACATCATGAATCATTAATGAACAAATATGAGATCAGTATTTAACTTGTGTTATTCATGACTTGTTCCTTCAGTAGTTCACAGAGATTAATAGAATTACCAGACAACCGTCATGATTCATTAATGATGAATTAACATGAAATCAGTATGTAACTCATACTTTTCTGGTTACTTAATATATAGTAATACTATGATACTGTACTATTTGTGCCCTGTCAAGTGCAGTGTTACCAACTGAGAGGTCTGTGCAACTACACATGCTTGTATTACTTATTCCATCTCCAGCACAAGTGCCATGTTTTTGTTTGCTTTTCTGATCATGTTTTTTTCTATTTACTTTTTCATCAGCAATTAGAGTTGATCACACCTTTCCAGCTGTACTTCAATCCTGATTTGATATTGAAGAATTATCAGGTAAGTTACAATAATTAAAACACATCAAATTTAAAACATTTTAGCCTTATGAAATGACTATGTAGTTAATGCCCTTTTTTCGTTTAACAGGTATGGCGGCTGATTACCAATTTTTTGTTCTTTGGGCCGGTTGGCTTCAATTTCCTCTTCAACATGATCTTTTTGTATCCTTTAACAAGTGGTATCCAGTTTTAAACAGCATTAATTACCTGTGACAATGACAGTTTTGTAATCCTTTTGTGCATGCATGTTTTGTATTTTTGAGCCATCTTTTGTCATGGGGTCTGCAGCATAGCGTGCATCACGTGACAACAGTGTAACACATTTAACTGGCAGGCATGTCTGTTTCTGCTGATAAATCCCATCTGCTTTTTAACTGGGCTTGCACTGAAACTTTGCCGCCCAGAGGATATACCACAATCTTCAGTGTTTCTGAGATTTAAACCTGCAGTTAATCCAGGTGCCACATGTTAGTGTGAAAGGGCCGCAGTTATGTAATGCTGTAGAATAGCGTAGCAGTGGATGGCACAGGCACCGATTTCTGACAGTAGGCCTTCCCCAGTCTGACCACAGGAAACGCTATGTGGATACTGCCTCCTAACCAGAGCCGCAATCTTAAATATTTATGAACATTACTAGGCCATGTTGTTTAGTGAGTATAATTCTGAGAGAAATTCTGGCTTTGTATGATGCCAGGAATAAATATTTATTTAAAACTGCTGTGAGGCTTTAATTTGGTTGCATTAACTTTTACTGAGAGGAAGACGAAGCCCCCCTCATAACATCTGCAACATGCAGCCAGAAGAGAACTATCTGTCAAGCACAGGATGGGTACTATACTGACTGCCGTACTTCCGCAAAAAGAGGGTAGGTGTGTCTCCTTGACGACGGGCCACAGGTACCGGTACTGCCGGATGCTGGAAGAGGGGTCCTTCCGCGGTCGCACCGCTGACTTTGTCTTCATGTTCCTGTTTGGCGGCCTCCTGATGACTGTATCCTTTGGGCACCGCGTGCTCAGCTTCTCTTCCTTGTCACCTGTCATCACGACGGAGCTCGTTGACCTTCACAGCAGCCGCTCAGATCTTCGGCACCTTTGTAAGCCTGGTGTTCCTGGGCCAGGCTTTTACCATCATGCTCGTCTATGTGTGGAGCCGCCGTAACCCTAATGTGCGCATGAACTTCTTCGGCCTCCTCAACTTCCAGGCCCCCTTCTTGCCCTGGGTGCTCATGGGCTTCTCTTTGCTGCTGGGGAACTCCATCATTGTGGATCTGCTGGGTAGGTGGCCCCCAGGCGCCTGTGTCTTGAGTCCAGCATTTCGATTTTGTGGCCCTGACCTTGCAGATCCCGCCATCTCCTCTCCTTAAGGTATCGCCGTGGGACATGTCTACTACTTCTTGGAGGACGTGTTTCCCAACCAGCCTGGTGGTGGGAGGTGGCTAAGGACACCGACTATCCTGTGAGTGTTAGCGCTGCCCGAAAAGCGAGCGAAAGACGCTTTGATCAGAGCATCAGGAGTGTGAGTGTGATGAGGGCTGTCCTGTAAATCTCTGATGTATGTAGTTCTGATTGATATCAGAGACAGTGGGGCAGATGTTTTCTAAACTGACATAATGACCAAGCCCATTTCACCCTGCTGTGATGGATATTTCTTTTTCTTTCTTTCTTTCTTTCTTTCTTTCTTTCTTTTCTGTGTCTCTCCCTCTCTCTCCCTCTCTCTCTCTCTCTCTCTCACTCACTCCCTGTCCCCCCCCCCCTCATTTAGTGTCATTACCCAGACATCTTGCCCCTGCCAAAGCCCTTTAACTTTTGCAAAACCCTAACCCTAATACAAGGCAGGATGTGCTTTTCCCTCTCCTGGGCTCTGGCTTTCACGGAGGTCATTGCCTATTAATGTGTCCATTACATTGATGTCTAAGGAGGATCCATTGTCATTGTTTAGTGCAGTTTGAAACTTTATGATGATCTTTGGGGAAATATATTTTACTCATTCTTCTCGCATTTCAGCGAGATATGACCCCCCCCCCCGTCCCTCTCCCGCTGGGGACAGTCTGCTTGCCGAGTGTATTTTAGTTTCCTTGTTTAGCGTCTGTGTGCGTTCTTGGTCTCCATGACAACCATGTTCATACCGTCTCAAATAGACATTCACGCAAAGAATTTCAGATAAAAAAGTTTTCTTTCTGTCTCTCCCTGTCGCCCACAGTAAGATGCTGTTTGACAATCCAGAGGAAGATGCCAACTATAACCCACTGCCAGAGGAGCGTCCTGGGGGCTTCGCCTGGGGGGAGGGTCAACGTTTAGGGGGCTAGGCCCCCCTCCCCCATCAGGGGATCGGATTTATTTCAGACAATAATTCTGAGAGCTACCAGACTTGTTTCTTTTCTCACTCGTCCGTCTTGCTTGAGATAAGAGTGTGAAATGTTTCTGTGAACCACCGTGAAAGCCACTTCCGCTCGTCTCCCGAGGCCGGGCCAGGCAGGCGCTCGCCAGCACCAGGCCGACCAGAATGCACCCTGGGGCGAGCCGTCCACCGCTACCTTCTGCTCCTCTGGCCGTTTTCTATGACGTGGATAACGTTTATAAAATAGCGATCTGAGGATGATGAGCAGAAAGGAATGACCTTCAAGTCCTCGGAGCCTTTTTTCAAGTTTGCTTTTATTTTTACAAATAAATATATGTAAACTGTATAATCACGAGGATTGTGCTTTTAACTTTCTGCAATAGTCAAGTGACCCCTCTACTCAAAAAATTTTCTCGGGCTCAGATTTTGCTCTGCCATATTCTTAAGAGTACAGATGAGTTTTTAACACGATAGTGCTCTCTTGTGAAACGCAGAGAAATCATTGAGGTAATGTCTGTGCTCTGTTGTCTAACGTTGATGTGTGTGGTGTAAACAGACGTACACACTCTCTGTGCTTAATTATTAGATGTATGAAACACCAGTGCGTTTGGTACACCTGACAGCTTAGAGCACGTAGTGGGGAAAATATTAAATTATTCCAAAACTGTTTTCCGACTTGGAGAATAATGATGAGCAGAAGCTTTTGCTTTCTCTCCCTCCCTTTCTGTATATCATGTGCGTAACAGGGGGAAACGTGTGGCTTATTCAGCAGGACAGGCTGGTGTTTTTTTAGCACAGAGAAGTGCCTGAAAAAATGTAAAGAGGTGGGTTAATGCAAACACAGGCAGCGCAAACGATTTCACACTGGAAATCACGGCACATGGTCATCATGGACATCACCTGTTGTACATAGACACTTTGAGAACGACGCATATGTTTGGATCTGGAGTGTAAATTAAAATCACTGACCCATTCTGCCAACTGTATGACTTATTGTACGGGTTTGTCATTGGCTTGTAATGGTGTGAAGTGTCCAGCAGGGGGATTTGGGACCTTCTGCTAGGTAACACACTATTAGAGAAGGTAGCTTTTATTTAGTCCTGTACTTGTTTATGTTATATGAATATATATATGTAGGAGTTATCATTACCATAATGATACATTACGGAGCTATAGATTTTAGTGGATGAGAAGGTGGGATGAGGGGGGTGTGAATCACACCACCCCCCCCAAAAAAAAAAAAACAGAACATTTTCCAAAACAAACCTGTAAGGCAGGTTGTAGCCTTGGGAAGACTTTTTCGAACTTGTATATATTTTAAGCATATATTCAAAACTTACAATTTATCTTACATATTAAAAGCATTTGCTATAAAGTCCATATTCTGCTATTAGCATATGGTATCATACAGAAGACATTAAGTCTGTAGCAGTAGTAGTTTCTTCTGTTAAGAGTGTGGAGAGATGATACATATATTAATTCAGTTTACATCCTCTGTTGAAATGAACCATGAGTCCATTTCCAGAAAGATCTCCATATAAACACCAGACAGGGCCTTAGAGAATTGTTGAAACTTGAAAAATCGTTGCAGCGTGATGAGGCCCAAACCACGATCGATCATTTATCATTGAGGGCTTGTCTAGAGAAAGCCTTCAGGATCCCAGGATCATTCCACATCGTCGTAGTCCTCGCTGACGTAGCCTGGTGTCACCACATCATCGTATGAGTCCATGGAGGTTCCGTCACTTGCTAGAGGGCTCTTCGCCTGCTGCACCGGCTCCTGGTGTTGGTAGGGTGGAGGTGGTGGTGTCTCCTCCACCACTTTGATGTAATCCGGCGGGACCGAGATCTCCTCGTAGCTTGGAAAGGCTGTAACAGGCACACATGAGAGTGGACCAGAACCAGAGAAGACAAAACGCTGGGCAAGCTAGACACTCAAGCAGAGGAATATCAGCATCGACTCCAAGAGAAGCCTCATTAAGCAAAGCCGCGATTAAGAAAAGCTGTGAAGACTTAGCCAGTCCCATACTCACATGGCTGCAGATTTATATTCCTTGGGGGCAGCGGGGGTAAGTCTTCCTCGATATGATGTGGGTGGTATTTGCTGTTCCTGAAAAAAGAATCATCTAAGCTCAGATATGCAGAAGTTCCTTAGAAAGTTCAAGTACTTCTCACTAAGCAAGCAGGTGACTTTGTTATGCAGCAGAGGGATTTTTGACCGACTGAAACTGCTATGAAGAAACAGACTTTTTGTGTGGAAAAGGTGAAAAGCTGTCATTAAAAATATTATAGGGACATCAGGTGGGGGGGGCGGTGAGCGGCTCAGCAGGCCAACCCTCTGTGCCTGTGATCGGAAGGTCATCCCTCAGCAGAATCGTCACGTGGCCGTAGGGCTGGGCGATACCATATCATTACATCGCGCATGTGCAATGATGACCAGCGCTTCAGATGACAGGCGCAGCATTTGGCGAAGCGCCAGCTTTTCGGTGCTATAGGGACATTTATTTACGCCACAATTTGTTAAGCAGTTTAGTAGTATGGCTAAAGTATTAATGAGGCTTTGTATGACGCCCAGAAGTCATTATTAGTATAAATACAGCATATCCTTGTTTAATAAATGTGTCAGACTTTGAACTGCAAAAAGTACCACCAGACCGCCGACGTCTTTTTACCTTGTTTATCCACAAGATCTCCTCTTTAAAAGATGTCATGGCTGCTCTTCTTCACCGCGCCTTCAGTGCATATTGCACTGAGGTATACCAAACCGTAGTATTCCAAACCGTAGTACACCAAACCGTAGTATACCAAACCGTAGTACACCAAACCGTAGTATACCAAACCGTAGTATACCAAACTGTAGTACACCAAACCAGTATTATGTGGGGTGCTCTGCTAATCGAATTTAAGAAACACAAAGTTTATACAGATTACTTACTTTTGGGTATCACAAAACTCATCTCATTAATATTTAAGCCATACTACTAATCTTCTTACCAAATTATGGGCGTAAATAAATGTCTGTATAGCACCGAAAAGCTGGTGTCCGGCCAAATGCTTTGTCTGTCACCTGAAGCCCTGGTGATTATTGCGCATGTGCGATATAATATCGATATATCGCCCAGCCCTATGGCCGTGGTCCCTTAAGTAGGGCCCTTAACCCCCAGCTCCAGGGGCACTGCATGCTGGCTGCACTGTGACCCCCCAAGCTTACTCACACCTGTATATGTGTCTGTGTCTCATGGAGAGCAGGATGGAGTAGGAAAAGAGAAGCATTCCAAAGTACTCATATTTGTGGTAATGGCGAATAAAGGATCATTTCATTTCACACCTCCAGGGTTGGGGGTTTGAGTCCTGTCCCATTGCCAAGGTACTCTTGGTCCCCCCATACTCTAAAGACAAATCTAACTTGTGTCTGTAGATTGCCTGTAATGAATGTCCCCTGCCCTGTGCCCTGTGATGGACTGGCATCCCGTCCAGGGTGTCCCCTGACCTGTGCCCTGTGATGGACTGGCATCCCGTTCAGGGTATGCCCTGCCTTGTACTCCATTTATTAATACTGTATAAATTGTTCTTTGGTGATATGCACATCCAAAAGTAAAATTTTACTTACTGGGTATAAAACTGGGGGTTTGAATTTTGAAGGAAATTTGGTTTGTACTCTTTTGCTGTAGAAATAAAAAAAAACATACAGTTTATGCAATTAGACTAAAACATGCAATTAGACTGAAAGGCTGTTCAGTATGTGGGATAAGGGCATTATGGACATTTTACTCGCTGTAACATACAATGGACTTTCATCCTGATTTAAAGGCTCATTGTGTAGCCACCACCTGCATTGATCAGCTCGAGAATTTATTCAGAACCACCCAGCAGGTCTAACAGAAACGAACTTGAATCATTAGGTGGTGAGTATTTACTATGGAAACTCAGAGGATCATTCATAATTACCTTTCCTGGAGATGTACTTGTTGATGCAGAGGAATATGCAGCCAATTATTAAAGAGACCAGTAACATTCCTGCCACCAGGAACAGCCAGTAGAAGTCTCGCAATTGTTCAAAGGCCGCCATCTGAACTTCAGAATGATCCACAAGCGGAGCCACAGAGATTAACACACGTTAATAGCAACTCAGGGCTAATGGACGCCAAAGACCCATAAGGGAACCTGAAAGTAGTCTGCAAGTATAGAGAAATCATAGACATTTTGGTTTAACTTCTGTTTTCTGATACTTCTGCATTTTGGATACCATCACATGAACTTATTGTGCTCTAGTTAACAAATCGTTTCTTTGCATATACACATTCGTTATTAAGTGTCCTTGTGTTTCCTATCAGGTAAGACATACGACATCCTCACCAGCTATGCAACTGAGATTAAAAAGTTTTTTAATTAAACCCCCATAAGTCAACAACAGCAGCAATACAGGGTGCTGCACTCTTCCAGTGGGCTATTGTATGATAAATTCTCACAGTCCCAACACGGTTTATTTATGTACTACTGTATAAATACCCAAATATAAACTAAAGACAATTGAAATACATTCAATCATAAACAGTACTTATTTATCCAGAAAGGGCCAAGAAAATGCAGAGCTTAAGAAATAAACAAAAACCCTGTATTTGGTATTTTAATCTTATTTAACACAATTATCCCATACAGGTATTTGCTTTAAAACGTTAAGACAGATGTAAGTAAATGTCCAAATCTTACTTTAATGCACAGATAAGCATTAGCCAATCAGTTCAGGCACTGGGTCGTCTCAGTGAGAGAAACCATCCAATGAGCCGGGAGTGTCAGGATCTTCGTCGCCGCTGGTCACCGCTCCCTTGTGTGGACACAGGCTGCAGCCGGAGGTGGCTCCAGTACAACTGGTCACCGTGACTAGCATTGACTGATTTCCTCTGTGTCCTTTTTGAGAATCATTACGCATACAAAGCCAGCCAACCACAACCCCCCCCCCCCCCCCCTTGCACAGACCAGCCCACATCTCAGTCTCTGGTTCCTCTCTCTGTTTTTTTCATCTATTAATACGTTTGCTTGGTGCAGTTTATGTAAATGTCCTCTCTAGTGGGAACATGTGTCACAAGTATCTGCCGCTCTAGTGTCGCTGCGACTTCTGTCCTGAGAGGGACTTTTCCTACAGTGACCTCAGTAGATGATCAGTTCTACGCAACTGGGACTGTTCAGACAAAGATCAGAAACTTATGTGCTGAGTGTATGTGGACACAAACATACAGCACGTGGAATTGCTTCTGAAAAAGATACTGTTTTACACTGCAGGTACCAGAAAGGTAATCAATTAGCAAAATAAATGAATACCAGGAGCAAATGTCATTAAATTTTACAAACGGAACTAAAAAATTGGAGGAATGAAAGGAAGAAGCTAAACTGAGTATAGAGCAGTGTTTCCCCTTCCAGTCCTCGGGGACCCACAGTCAATCTATGTTTTTGCTCCCTCCCACCGCCCTGCCAGACAGACCACATTTTTGCTCCCTCCCAGCTCCCGACCAGGAGTTGGGAGGGAGAAAAAACGTGGACAGTCTGTGGATCCCTGGACGGGATGCCAGTCCATCACAGGACACAGGGCAGGGGACACCCTGGACGGGATGCCAGTCCATCACAGGACACAGGGCAGGGGACACCCTGGACGGGATGCCAGTCCATCATGATGCCAAGTTGTGAAACAGTACCCAGGGGGATTTGGTGATAAACTGTGTCAAAACCTGCAGAAAGGTCTGTTAGGACAGATGACTAGCATGCAGGTCCAGTGGCTCACGGAGTATCCACAACAATGAGGAGCTGAGTCTCAGCTGAGCGCTCAGGTCTGAAGCCAGACTGAAAAGGGTCCAAGAGGTTGTTCTTAGTGAGAAGGTCAGAGATTTGACTGAGAACAGCATGTTCAAGGGTTTTGGACAAGAATGAGAGGATGGAGTCTGGCTCATGGTTTTCAATCTGTGAAGGACCAAGTGAGGGTTTCATAGCAGTGGTATTACCCTGGGATGCCAGTCCATCACAGGGCACAGAGCAGGGGACACCCTGGATGGGATGCCAGTCCATCACAGGGCACAGAGCAGGGGACATCCTGGATGGGATGCCAGTCCATCACAGGGCACAGGGCAGGGGACACCCTAGATGAGATTCCAGTCCATCACAGGGCACAAGACAGGGGACACCCTGGATGGGATACACTATGGGTAATTCAGAATTACCAATGAACTTTATTGCATGCTTTTGGACTGTGGGAGGAACCAGTACTAATGCAGATGCCGTAGAACTAGGGATCCCATTAATCCTATGTTGGCAAAAAATTCTGGATCGCTATTATAAAAATCACAAAAATACATGTAGCCTTAGACAGAAGTGAGGGTCACAGAATAGCTAGTTGTTCAGCAACACGAGTGTGGGAATGCAGGCTGTGTCCGAATTCAGGACTGCGTCCTTCTAAAGCTGCATTTGATCACAGCGATGCGACAGAGCTCTGCCATTTTGAAGGCTCCTTCAAAGGCAACCTACAATACTGTGCAAAAGTCTTAGGCAGCCAAGGAAAATGATGTTTAAATGATCTTCATGTTGGTGTAAAACTATGCTGTTATCCCTGCTAAAGTGTGTCAGCTTATTAATTTTAAAACTAATGCTAAAATTACCCCAGTATTTGCAGCAACCCTCCGGTACACCCATGTACTTTTTGACTACACCACTAGCCCACTTTGTATAGCTAATCAATATCTCGTTTACTTTTTTTTGTTTTAAACTAATTTAATTAATTAATTACGATTAATTGCGCTTATTTTCAGATACCCTGCGAAGGACGCAACCTATAAATGCTATGCAGACTGCGTCTTTCGATGGATGCAGCCCCCGAATTCGGACACAGCAACCACTTCAAAGTAACCACTTCACATTCGCGAAGGCTAAGGGCGGAAAATTAGCGAGCAATACTTGTCCCCCCCAACCTTAACCCATAACAGTCTGCTAGCCCGAAAGACAACATAGAAACTATTTATTACTACTTTAAAAACAAACAGTACCATATTGTACACTTTGCATGTCGAATGTCATTGTTATTTCCTGCCAAGGCCTTTATATACAATCTAAATTAAACCCCTGTATGTAGGAAGGTTAGTACTCTACGCACTGAGAGCACTACATTTTGCACTCTTTATTAAAAATGCTAAATTAACAGCACTGAAAATATTAAAAGCTGCGAGAACGCGAGATTCAGCTAATACTTGAGCCTGGTTGCCGAGACAAAGATGTGCCGCGTACCCAAGCCAAGACTTAATTTTAAAGATCTAACAAATATTATTAGCTACTAATTCTATGCATTATATGATTGTATGTGGGTTGATTGGTACCCCACCCTGGCTTCCGGGATAGAATCCGGACCCCCCGCAACACTGAAATGGAAAAGCGGGTTCAGAGAATGAGTGGATGGATGGATGGATGGATGATTTTATGTGATTCGCAGCAGTTTTAGTATTGTTTTGGTTTACGAGTCGTCTGCGAGTTTCTGTGATATTTCGGCAAGCTCCAAAAATATACCCGTTTGATTGTTCGCCACCAACTTGCAAATAACCAAAACCGCGACCGTCAAATGCGCAAATTGCTATACTTTACGCTGAAGAAATAAAAAAGTAAAACTGCAAAGTGCAATGTATGTAAGGATAGTGCTGATTTTTCTTAAGTCTGAACACAGTAAAATTTATACAGACGGCATGTCTTCAGACCAATATTTTTTCTAAAGTTTGGTTTATCTGTGTTACATTGTATATTTTGTACTGGAGACTTAATTATGTGTACTTTTTGACTAGAAATGGTTAGTTGATGTATACAGTAATATTTTCATTTTCAGTTTGTTATATTTAATTTGGCAACAGATTGCAGAAACTGCACTTTAAGAAATATTTCTGTTAATTTTTAATAGTGAATCAAACATAGCAGCAGACTTCTGTAAATTTTATTGCCTGTCGGTATAGCTTAATTTTGTTTTGAGCAACATGACCATCAATTATATTCTCCCATTCATACCATACTCAAACAATGCAGCTGCAACATTAAATCCAGATACACTATATGGACAAAAGTATTTGGACAACACCTCTCAATTAAGCACCTAGCCATGCAGTCACGTTTACAAACATTTGTGAAAGAATAGGTCATTCAGAAGAGCTTAGTGGATCCAAGTGTGGTACTGTCATAGGATGCTGCCTTTGCAATAAGCCAGTTCGTGAAATTTCTTCCCTGTTAAATATTCCACGGTCAAGCTTAAGTGTATTACTGCAAACCATGTAAAGTAACAGAGTGAGGTCGCCTATTGCTGAGGCGCATAGTGCGGAAAAGTTGCCAACGCTCTGCTAACTCAATAACCGTAGAGTTCCTAACTTCCGCTGGCATTAACCCCACCATAAAAACTGTGTGCCGAGAGCCAGCACTACACCTCTGGGGAAAACTGCATACTACCCCCACCCTAATTGATTCTCTGTCTGTTGCGTTTTAAGAGATAAAGTGGAAGGAATTGTGCTTGCACTATATGACTGTGCGATTTATGCCACTTTCCAGCTGTATCCAACCGGATTTCCCTATTCTAAAAAAGATATTTTAAATATTATTAAAAAGATGATACTAACTAATACGATCAGCAGGCAGCACGAGCCTCAGCGCGCGTTCCAGCACGCTGGCCAGTCGGCGGCGCGCCTCGGCTCCCAACGCCTGCGCAGTCCGCACTGTTTCCTCAATGACGCCGATGTCCGTCTCTCGTCTGCTGCGGTCCTCCTCTCCTTCTCGCGTCTAGCCGGCAGTTTGTGAAACACCCCCCTCGGCGAGCCATGGCCGAGCAGGCCTCGGGATCCGCCCTGTCGCCTCAGCCTGACGGTAATGAACCGTTTGCTTTCGGGGGGCAGCGTTTTATTTCGGTAGACGTTGGAGTGAAGGCCCGGCGGCCTGCGCAGCCTCGGACTCGCTCGTTCCCATCCGGGCGCTCTGCGCTCGCCGTTCGGTTTGGAATGGCATGGCTTTGCCGTCACGCCTCTGTCGCCCCTTGCTAGACTCTGCTGCCGGACCTCCGTTCGCCGGAGTCTCGGTGTTGTTACGAGCCGGTTCCCGATTCCGTAGCCGGGCATCCTGGGAGCCGCCTCCGGCCTGTCATCACCGTGTAGCCGGGGAGCTTATCTCGCTTCCTTACTGGCGGACGGGCATCATTTAAAGCATGTGTTTTGGTGGTTTGTTTGCCCGGATCTGGCATTATGCAGTATGACAGACAGACGGACGCAGGGGCGACCATGTTTCGGATAGGGATACAGCCACCTGGTCAACCGCGGCTGGTTACTCCAGTAATACTAGTAAGTAAACAAGTCTATTGTTGTCATCCCTGATCGATGTAATCACAGACATTTCTAATGCCTGTGTATTCTCTGGCATATGGTTATGGTAACCAACACATCTACCCGGTCAACCATGGGTGGTTACTCCTGTAATACTAGTAAGTAAACAAGTCTAGCTGTCACCCCTGATTCGAGTCACTCTGCTCACCTGGAATGTCTGTGAGGTATGTGGTTAAAGTCAGGGACCACCAGGATGTGCTGCCTCTCCTACAGGCTGAAATGTCACCGTGGACTTCCCCAGTAAAGCAACAGGCTGGTGAAAGTGTCAGTCAGCCAGTTTCCCGTCACCGTATAGTCTCACAGTTCTCGGATGAGTTTTGTGATCTCGGTGTAAATGGAAGCAGCCCTTCTCACAGTAAGCATGCTCATATGTCTTTCTGCTGTTTTTATTTGGTGTATTTCCACATGCATTCCAGCTTTCAGATTCCCGCTGCATTCGCTGGTCTACAGCTTAATGTTTACTCAGCTTCCCAGCACAAACGGTTTCCATTATGCAGGTACCTGCCTCAGGTTCACTGAACTGAACTAGAGATTCTGAATAATTAACTGACTTTTTTTGGATCTCAGTTTTAATACCACGCTTTAGTGGAATGTCAAGCAGAGCTTTCCAGTTGAGTTACAGCAGGGTTTGATAAACTCATTTTCTGATGCGTTTCACACAGCTAAACTGTTGCATTTGGTTAAAAAACAGCAGCTAGTTGTTTTGTACTAGTAGTATTACCAGAGGATCTGCAGGTGACTGATACAGACTGCAGCACGTCTGTCAAAAGACTGTATTGAAAAGTGCTCTCATTGTTTCAAATTAATTTTTAAAATTCATAAACGCTGTTAATTTTTACTGTGAGAAACATGTTATAGTTTTTCTTTTCGTTTACCCAACAAAACATTCTTTGTGCTAGATTAAGTTTCATTCACATGTTTATTTTCATAATATAACTCTTTGTCCCCGAAAGGTCAGTATGGATTACCTGTTTCCTGTATACACAGAATAATTCCTATGGTTTCTTCTGTGGTCAGTCAATTATTGAATATATCCTTTGGCTTATTAATGACTTTGTATTTGACTCTCTGCAAACCAAGATTTTGCTGTGATTAACACAAACACTTAATTATGGAAAAATTCCAGAATTCATTAAATACGTGTAGTGGTCTGTTATGTGACTTTAATGTTGCATACACTTTGCTAGCTGGTTATGTTAACTTGTAAACATTGAAATGCTGAAATTTGTCTGTGTGTGGGAGTCCACTTGGTTTCCATCTTTGCATGGGCTTTCTCTGGCTGCTCCAAGGGCAGGGGACACCCTGGATGGGATGCCTGTCCATCACAGGACACAGGGCAGGGGACACCCTGGGTGGGATGCCCGTCCATCACAGGACACAGGGCAGGGGACACCCTGGGTGGGATGCCCGTCCATCACAGGTCACACACATGTACACACCCGCATCCGCAAACAATTTAGAGATGGCCATCGCACTCAGTGGCCAGTATATTAAGCAGTCCAGCTCATTAATAAAAACAGGCTGATCTCGCATCATGGATATCACGTCTGTGTTCCATGCTTGTGCACGGTTAGCGAACACACTAGAAGTGTTTCAGTGTACAGTATGAACATAAGAAATTTACAAATGAGAAGAGGCCATTCGGCCTGTATGGAGCAATCACATTAGTCAAACGAACTAGACTATGGAGGTCAGGCAGGCTTGGACACGGTATGGATTGCCTAGTGTAAGTACAACCTGATAAACAGCCACCCTCCTGGGGTTTTCAGGCACTTCAGTGTCCAGAGTTTTTGCAGAGGATGCTGCAGTAAACTAAAATCCAATCAATAGCATTTTTGCTGCTGGAAATACCTGGTTAATGAGAGGTCAGAGGAGAACTCAAACTCGTTACAACTAACCTGAAGGCCACAGGTACAAAGATAACCGCTCATTATTACTGCACAGCAAGGCTATTCTGAACACATAATTCAGTGAAGTGGTTCTGGAAATAAATGTTGGTCCTACTTGATTTTTAGCTAGGTGTACCTAATAAACTGGCCACGGAACCAGAACTAACTCAGTGTTTTTGGACTGTGGTAGGAAATCTCTGAAACAGAGAGAACATGCAAACCCCGCAGATATGGGGCAGGGTCCAGATTCACTTGTCAGACAACAGCTCTGCCCACCAAGCCACCCTTCTGCCTAGCAAGGTACCAGTCTGTAGAATTTCTGAGGTACATTGGAGTTGATGGCTGCGACATTGAAAATATCCATCTATATCCAAATATCCATTGTAGAATACACCACAGTTCTGCTGTGAGGAGTAAAGCCCTCGCAAAATCTGTGCATTTCTGGCAAGAGAGAAAATAATTATAACTTTCGTTATAATGTAGAAGAGTTTCTTGTGGACATAGCTGTGTGTGCAGTAAAGAACTGCCCTATATTCTGGTTGTATAAACTGTGATTCACAAAGAGTGCTGCTGATTGATTGGTGCTGCTGCTGGTTGTTTGTTTGGTGCTGCTGCTGATTGTTCGGTTGCACTGCTGGTTTGGAGGTACACTGGTTGTTTGCTTGGTGTTGCTGGTCATTTTACGGTTGCACTGGTTGTTGTTTGGTTGAACTGCTGGTTGTTTGTATTACAGTTCATATTCAGTAAACCAAGTTGCACTGACCCATTTTCAGATCCATTGTGGATGTAACAAAAGCGCTAATAAAGTTTTCTTATGAAGGATGTTTGAATTCTAAAGAAAATAACTGAAAAAGGGTGTTACAGTGACTCAGCTGGCAATACTGTAGGCTTGCACCACCATGGGCGTGGAGTCCTCCTGCAGACACTAATTCACATTTTGCATGTTCTCCCCATTTTCACTTTGGTTTTCATCAGAGGCCCATAAAAACTGCTTAGGAGAATTTCTGACACCCATATTGTGTGTGCATGTGTGCTCACTGTGACAATGTGTGGGAAAATCGGCTATGGGAAACAGGTTGAAAGCCTGAGGAACATCACTGACACTTAGAAGAACATTCAGAAACATTCAGCATCATAAATCGTTGAGTTATATGTGTTATTTGCCGACTGGTGCAACAGTTAACCTTTCTGTAGATGACTACTGAAGCCCTCCTCCCTACAATCACTCTGTTCATGTTTCCATTCATTATTCAAGAGATTTTTCTTCTGCAGATTTCCCTGCAGACACGAGCCTGGGGGATTGGGACAAAGGTTGTCTTTTGTTGGCTGGTCATGGTGATGATGGGCACGGGGGCAGGGCACGGGGTGTGTGCATAGGCCTCACACCGCAGCTTTGCTCCTGTCTGGCAGGCGGCCTGCAGCAGCGTGCTGCTGCCCTCGAGCAGGAGCGTGCCGAGTACGCCAAGCGCAAGCAGCAGCTGGAGACTGAGTTCAACCAAAAGCGCGCCAAGTTCAAGGAGCTCTACTTATCCAAGGAAGGTAAGGTCCATGTCCTTCCTGCCCAGGTTCCAGGCTCGGACTGTATCCCTGTTTGCTTTCTCTCTTCTGCTGATCTGTTAGATGTCCTTTAGATATTTTTTAAACTTTGCCAGTCTCGCATTTTGACCTGGTGGATGCCCCAATCTGGACTGACGTATGATGTTTGTCTTCGGGTTTCCTGTGGGCCTCCTCTCCTCCTCCAGAGGAACTGAAGAGGCAGGGCGCCTCCCTGGAGTCTGCGCAGGCTGAGCTGTCCCAGGTCAAGGTCCGGCTAAAGGAGGCCCAGGCAGACATGGAGAACATAAAGGCAGTGGCCACTGTGTCAGAGAGCACTAAGCAGGAGGCCATAGACCAGGTGAAGAGGCAGTGGCAGGAGGAGGTGGCCTCGTTACAGGCCATCATGAAAGGTAATGGTTGTGGGCTCCCTGAAATGCCGCTTGGTAGATCAGTCTCGTGACACTTGAGACATACTGCCTGAGGCATCAAATGAGAAGTTGAAAACCATATTTGAAGGTCGTGAACTGTGAGTCCTCAGCTGGCCACACCCCCTTCTGTTTCAGATACACTGCGGGAGTATGAGGTTCAGTTCCACCAGAGGCTGGAGCAGGAGCGCGCCCAATGGAACCAGTACCGCGAGGCCGTGGAGAGGGAGATGGCTGAGCTGCGCCGACGACTGTCTGAGGGCCAAGAGGAGGAGAACCTAGAGAATGAGATGAAGAAGGTGACCTCCGCTTATGAGGAGAAGGCCAACAGGGATGCTATGGGCTCTGTTGATGAATGTGTTGATGCTGATCATAAGGGTCTCCCCAGGCCCAGGAAGATGCGGAGAAGCTCCGTTCTGTGGTCATGCCAATGGAGCATGAAATAGCAGATCTGAAATCCAAGCTGGTGGAGGCGGAGGAGCGGGTCAAGGAACTGGAAGCCTCTAAGGTAGGCGGGTGTGCCAAGGTCTGTGTTGGGCTGCTGGTGATTCCATGTCGGGTCAAGATGGTCATGTGGCCGTGGGTTCCAGGTGTCGGAGCTCAATCACGTGCTTGAGGCAGAGAAGTCCTGCCGTACAGACCTAGAGATGTATGTGGCGGTCCTCAATACCCAGAAGGCTGTGCTCCAGGAAGATGCCGAGAAGCTACGCAAGGAGCTGCATGAAGGTGACCGGGGTTAATGCTTTCTGTGGAGCAGCTCGGGCCGCAAACTGCTCATCCTGTTCTTACCACTTTGGGCTTAAACCCCACAGTGTGCCACCTGCTGGAGCTGGAGAGGCAGCAGCACAACCAGCTGAAGCACACGTGGCAGCGAGCCAATGACCAATTCCTGGAGTCTCAGAGGCTGCTCATGAGGGACATGCAGAGGATTGAGAGCGTGCTATCCTCCGAGCAACTGCGGCAGGTCGAAGAGATGAAGAGGAGGGACCAGGTGAGTGCCACCTGCCCGCATGCCTCGGCTCGGCTCTTCCAGGTGGTGTCCTTCCTCTTCATCTCCTTTCTTGGGCTGCATCTGCCAACCCCCCTGAGCATCAAGTCACCACTCTCTCTAGCGTTGATGTTTCATTGCTGGTTTCTGCTGCATGTCTTCCACCCCATTCTGATATGCTATTAATCACTGTCCGACAGGCTGTGGTCTGTTCTGGCCATGTTTACCTTTCCTACCACACCTATTGCAGGGGCTTATTGTAGATTTGTTCAGCAGATGCTTTTATCCAGAGTAACATAAAATGGAGATGACAGGGTCAGCCAGTCCCTGGAGCTTTTTGAGGTTCAGAACCTTGTTCAGGGACTCAATGGTGAAATTACTCTGCCGACCTTGGGATTTGAACCATTGAGTCCTAACCTGCGGAGCCACACAGTTTATAGTTGGATGTGTCTTAATTAGTATTACATCTTCAAAGGGAAAATGACCCTGATGTGTTAATTAATAATCCACTAATCCATGGCGCATTTTAACGGATAAATGCGTTTTAATGTTCCGCTGCTCACCAGGTGTAACCTTGTCCTGAAGCGCGGCAGTGAGCGGCTGGGGTCCTCCCATCACGATCAGTCTGGTGGGCTTGGCTTCTTGTTTTCTCCTTTTGAAAAGCTTTCCTCTGTTTGAATGCAGGAGGAGGATGAGAAACGGCGCCTCAGCCAGGCCAAAGACCTGAAGGAGGAGGACGAATGCACGGACCCTGGGGAGGATTCGCTGCATGGGCTGCCCACGGATGAGGTGAGGTCCCTATCCACCCGCCTCTTACACGTTCTTCAGTGCGTGGGTGTTTAAACGCATTTGCAAGGGCTCTCGGGTTTCAGCCGGCCGAGGTTATAGCGCCTGTGATAACAAGGCTTACAAAAATAGCGTCACGGCGGCTTGGCAGACAGACTACGTAGTCGGAGAGCAGTTAGTCCACGGTCATGTTCACGGGGCGCTTGGATGTGACATGGGGCAGAAGGCAGGGGACACCCTGGATGGGACACCAGTACATCACAGGGCACAGGGCAGGGGACACTCTGGATGGAATGCCAGTCCATCAGAGGGCACAAAGCAGGGGACACTCTGGACGGGATGCCAGTCCATTACAGGGCACAAAGCAGGCAACACCATGGACAATATACCAATCTATGGCACGGCACAGGGTATCAAATATGTGGGTGAAATTGTCAGTTAAGCAAAATAATACTATTCCCTTCCACATCATGATAGGAAATTGTGTGTCTGTTAAGAAAGGGCATGATGTTGATAAACAGGGCAATCCATGCCCCATGTTCCGCCCACCTGCCCCATGTTCCGCCCACCTGCCCATGCTCCACTCCATGAACTGCCTACCCTCCCCGGCCCCGCCCCGCCCCTTCCACACAGGCCTTTACCAACCACAGCATCCACAGCTCCATCCACTCGCTGGACGCGGACTTGGCCAGTTCCACAGAGGGTCCAGACGTCTACCGTGACGGCCTGCGCAGAGTTCAGTCCACAGACAGCCTGGGTTCGGCGGGGGGCGCCCTTTCAAGCCGAAGCCTGGGCTACAACCACAAGGCCAAGTCGGCCAGCCACCTGGATGAGTCGGACTTCGGGCCACTGGTGGGGGCAGAGTGCACAGGGCCCGAGGGCCTGGACGCCGGGTCTCTGGGCTCTATTCACCTGCCGGCGGGTCACTTCTTGCTCACCAAGGACCAGGAGAAGGCAATCAAGGCCATGACGCCGGAGCAAGAGGAGACAGCCTCACTGCTGTCCAGCATCTCGCAGGCCCCCGATACGTCGTACCTGACGCCCACAGGGTACCGGCTGGTCAGCGAGTCCGAGTGGAACCTGCTGCAGCAGGAGGTCAGCGCCTGCCGCGCATGCGACCACGACCGTGTCTTGGAGGTTGAATTTCATAGACTGAAGCATCATCTTGAGGTGCTGCTTTGTACAGTAGTATTCAGCTGACGTGTCAGGGAATATTTGCATGTGTTTTCCTGTTGGTGCAGCTCGAGTAAGATGCAGACCTTGCCAATAAGGGATCATTCACACATGGGTACTCATATACTGATGATCCTCGTAGTGTTGCCCCCCCCCCATTGATAGTCTTCATGATGTTTATGTTGTAGTCCACCCTCTTTAGTTACGTTATTTGCAACTGTAAATGTATTGTGTCAGTGTGGTGATTTTGTTCATGTTGTTATATTGCATCTGTCCATCATCTTGATAATTAATTCTAGGAAGTCATCTGTTGTATGAAAGACTTTTAAATTAAGCCGAGCAATTTTACTCTTTATGAGTGTGTCATTCTGAGTGGATCCCTAGCTTTGTGCGTGATCACAGATGTCAGTGACGTTGTGATGGCTAGGGAGTCTGATCTCTTCTGCAAGCTCTGTGGGTTTTGATTCCAGCTAACTCTCGATCTGCAACCACTTCTTTCTCTAGATAGTTACTCTCACTCGTCACGCATATTTGCCAAGCACATACGATCACACCCACTATGCAAAACATCCTGTTAAACCAAAACGGAGCGCCTTTATTATTAGTCCCATGAGCTGAAAAGAAGTGGTGAAGTTGAGCTCCTTTTGCCATAGTTGTGTTTCTATAGTTACACGCTGCCACTGCTAGCTCACACCTAACACGAAGAGTTTGCAGTTACGTCCTGTTAAGTAGCGTAATATTGCAGTAGAGTGTCCATGCTCATGGTCCTGAAAAGCCTGCATCATTAAGTACAGTGCTGGCCTTTCAGAGGTGAGGCTTGGTTTATAGACAGGCCTAGTTACATACTCATGATGTAGACGGTACATGGGAAGTCCTCACTTTTACGGAGTTTAATGTTTGAAGTGTGAATTCTTAATGTTTGCTAAGTTATTTGTATATTTGGACATATTCTTAAAGTGTGGTTGTACTGACCTCGTAATTGAGAAGGCGAAATAGGTGGTTTTGCTCATTTCTTAATCGGAGGCGGGGGCCTTGGGTGGTAATACAGCCAGAGTAGTTTCTGTCGCCCTTGCAAGCGGTGCCCCATCTCCTGCACAGACCACCCTGGAAACACGTTCCCTCCGTTTTCCTCTCCTCTCGTCTTAAGGTGAAGAATGCTGGCAGGAAGTTGGGCCGCCGCTGTGACATGTGCTCCAATTACGAGAAGCAGCTGCAGGTCATTCAAGGCCAGGAGGCGGACACACGGGATCAGGTCAGTCCGGGCCGCCGGCCCGGGTCCGGACCAGCTTGGGTCCTGTCTGGTTGAGCTCTTTCCTTTATGCTGTAGCTGTATGACTAATTTAAGTTAACATAGTGTGAATAGAAAATAAGGGTTCTACATTTATTTATTTTTTATTCAGCAGGCACTTTTGTCCAAAGCGACATTAAAGTGAGGCAAATTGCATATTTCAACATACATGCTGTAGTGAAGTTGACTGAAGTACAGCTAGGCTGAGCTTCTGTTCAATGCCCCGGTACAAATGTAAGCAGCATAGGAGCAAGAGCTACACGTCATCTTCCAAACAAAACAAGAACCTAATGAGACAAGTATTTTGGTGTGTTTATAGTCTCCTGAGCCCATGTAGTGTATAACAGATAAGTCACAGGTTTTGGTCTTAAGCAGCCAAAGGAAATTGTTTAAAGTTATTTGTCTATGCTGTAAGTATATATTTGCTTATAATAAAAATCAGATCAACATAAAAGGTTTTTTTTTTTTTAAAAATCAGTGTGATTTTGCCAAAATGCAAATATGACCCCTTGTGACTCCCCAGATCCGTGTATGAACTCAGGAGGCCTTGATTAGCCTTCCAAGGTGTGATAGGGGTCGAGTCAATGAATACACTCCTAGGCCAAACCCAATCTGCATAACATTAGCAGTTTTTTGCCCAGGAGTGTATGTACTGTATTGGATGGTAACTGCAAATACTGGGGTGCCTTAAAGAAAGGTTTAGAAATGGAAAAGTGGATGCATTTTTACATAAAATCATAGTTATAAACCATCATAAACCCAATTTAAAATAATTGGCTTTAACTCCCTAAGACTTTTACATAGCATTATACCAGAAAGGTTAAGGAGTTGCATCATAACTTAAAGTATGTTGGTTGAAGGTGCAAAAGAGGATGTTCTCTATATCTGTCTTTGTATCTCTATATCGCTGTCTGTGGAGAGAAACTGAACCATCAGCCTCCGAGACTGAACTGGTAAGAGCAGGGTCGTAAGGTTGCATTTGAGGTGGTTAGGGTTTGAACTGGTAAGAGCAGGGTCGTACGGTTGCGTTTGAGGTGGTTAGGGTTTGAACTGGTAAGAGCAGGGTCGTAGGGTTGCGTTTGAGGTGGTTAGGGTTTGAACTGGTAAGAGCAGGGTCATAGGGTTGCGTTTGAGGTGGTTAGGGTTAGTGTTGGGTTTAGGGCTGCACGATATCACATCACGATGTACTCACGATAATATGGCGCATGCGCAATAATCACTAGGGCTTCAGATGACAGGCGAAACCTTTGGCTGGATGCCGGCTTTTCAGTATTACATGGACGTTTACTCACGCCCACAATTTGGTATGCATATCAGTAGTACGTCTTATTATGTTTAATAAAGGTTTGGGACTTAAAGTACTGCCACAACATGGTGTTTTTTACCTTGTTTATCCAGAATTTTTCCTCTTTCAAAAGATGTCACGGCTCCTGAGCTGTCCCTTTCTTCACCGCCACCTCAGTGCTTATGACTTCCATGACATAGCAGAACAGTAGCGTGCGGCGCTCCGCTAGAGTTAATAAATATGAGGATATATTTATATGAATTTGTAGAGATTACTAACTTTTGGATGTCAAACGTCCATATAGTACTGAAAATCTGGCGTCTGAACAAATGTTTTGCCCATTATCTGAAGCCCTGGTGATTATTGTGCATGCACCATACAATCACAAGTACATCACAATGTGATGATATGCAGCCCTAGTTGGGGTTGACGTGGTTAAGGCCTCGTCCTGCTTGCTGCTCCATTCTGTAGGCTTTTATGGCCCTCTTGTGCCTAAATAAAGGCTCCTGTCTGCATCTCTCCAGGTGAAAAAGCTCCAGGCGATGCTGCGGCAGGCCAATGACCAGCTGGAGAGGACGATGGCTGAGAAGCAGGAGCTGCAGGACTCGCTGAAGCAGAGTGGCGAGGAGACCGCCACCAAGGCCAGTTCTGCCCCACTGCTTGCCCACTCCCAGTTGTATAATTCTGCTGATCTCGCCATGCTGGCTCGCTGACACCTGGCACCGTCCTCCAGGTCTCCACACTGATGCAGAAGGTCCAGGAGACGGAGACCCTGCTGGTGACGTTACAGCAGGCCTTTAGCCAAGCCAAGAGGAGCACCCAGGAACAGATGGTTAGCGTGGGCTGCTAAACATTCGCTTTGCCATGTGTGTGGGGGGATCCACAATGTAAAACATCCCCAGGGGAAATTCTTCCCTTCTGTCCATGCCTCGATGCGCCCTTAGCTACATAGAGAGTTTGCTCCAGCTGATGTTAATGTGATTGAGGGTAGTAGCATTTCCCCTGATTGAGGAAGGCCATGCACCCCTCCCCACCAAACCCCACAGGCTGTACTCATGCAGTCCAGGGAGCAGGTCGCTGATGAGCTCAGCCGGCTGCAGCGTGACAACGAGAGTCTGCAGGGAAAACATCGCATGCACCTGTCACTGCAGCAACAGGAGGACTTTCAGCTGCCCACCTCAGTGCAGGTATGTCCGTCCGTCTGTCCCATTGCATTGTTTATCTTAACTTCACAAGGTGTATCTTTCTGACCTCAGGATAAACATTTTGCCACCATTCCCTGCTTATTTTCTGTGAGCTTCTGAAGAAACGCTGTGGTCCTACCTTCTGGTGTAATCTGCAGACCCCTATATTCATTCATGTTTAATGACATCAGCATTCGCAGTTTGCTCCACTATCCCTAAGCACAGGAGGAAGACCCTGCCAGGAGCACTGAACTCGGGTTGCTCCATCCCATCAGGCCTGACCGACAGCTTTGCTTTTTGGCAGGAGCTGCAGGCCCTGGTGCTGAGCTACAGGGAGGACATCGTGGCCGCGCGTACCGCCGCCGACCACCTGGAGGAGAAGCTCAAGGCTGAGATCCTGTTCCTGAAGGAGCAGATCCAAGCTGAGCAGTGTCTCAAGGACAACCTGGAGGACACACTGCAGCTGGAAATTGAGGGCTACAAGGAGGAGATCGGTAAGGCCGGCCCTGGTTCCACGCCACAGATAGTGGGAGATGACCTCCATTGGCCACCCATTAGGTTCCACCTGGGTTTAATGTCCTGGCCTTTTCTGGTGCTTTCCCTGGTTCTTTGTGACTCATTGATCCCACACTAGAAGGACCGACTCCCCATATGAAGTTCTCTTGGTGTTTTTGGTTTGTACCTTCTAAAAGCTGTCTCTCTCTCCCCCCTCCCTTCTGTCTGGTGCCTATTGTTCAGACATCTTGGAAGGTATGATGCTCACTGTCTGACTGGTTTCCTCTGCCTTTGTCTGTCTGTGCCTCTGTCTGTCTGTCGAGATACTTTGAGTCACCTTCTGCAGCACGAGTGGCTCAGTCACACAGGTTTTTGTTGTTGTTAGGGCTTTCTTTTGTAACTTCAGTGATCTGGATGTTTTCCAATGTTACCCAAACTTAATCTGTTGGGCAACGGAGACCTTCTCTGACATAGAGGTGGTTGGGGTTAGGGCTTGGGCTTGGGGCTTGGATAGGGGGATTGTGAAGGATTTCATGCATGTGGTGCTGTTTGGCCCACTTACTCCTCTTTCAAGTCTGCTTATAACATGTCACTCATCCGAACTCTAACTGCTAAAATGCAGCCAGCAGACAATTGCGCCCCAATCTCTGGAGTTAGAGCTGCCTGGAATCCTGCTTTCAGCACCTTAGCACAGGACCCGGCTGTAACATTCCGTTATGTACAGTGACACCCATAGCAGAGTCACCTGCTGTGGCAACTTCCATTTCAAAACAAAGACACATTTGCAGCCCCATGACTATAGAGGTAGTTTAAGTATGTGTGATTTGATATGTAAGTTAGCTGTAGTTCGCTGAAGCCTCACTGATTCCCCGATGACTTCTACCAAAGCAGGACACATGAACCATGACTAACACGTGACTGACTTCCTGCAAATAACATCACTATCATATTCTAGCTTTGTGTTCCATGCATGCTTGGTCTTATCATTCATTGTGCTGCAGTAGGTTGCAAATGGCTGTTTCATTTACATCTGTTTCTGGTCTGTAGCATCGTTCTCCAGTTTGAAGACTGAGCTGGAGCGAGTGAAGGTGGAGAAAGAGCAGGTGGGTGCAACCATCAGCTAACCATCTGAGAATACATGGTGCTGCTGTCATACTCTATAAAATAGCTGCTTCTTCACCTCTTTTGAGCTCCAACACCCAAATATAACGTTCAGTAGCTACCAAGTGAGTGATGGATATGTCAGAAATATCATAGGCTGTCACAGAGAGCAGATAGTATTATGGGTAATCAATACAAACTTCTAATGAACGTTGATCGTGCAAGTTCTCTATCCTCATGTTGACTGAAACCCTTGGTCTTGCTTTGTGAGGTCTTATAAGCTAGTTGGTTAGCCCAGTGTTTACCTCTTCTAGTTGGAGCGCACTCTGGAGGAGAAGAGTCAGGCCCTGGATAGTATCCAGGGTCTGAAGAGCAGCCTGGAGGGGCAGCTGAAGGAGGCCCTCAGTAGCAAGGTAAGGTAGACAGGAAAACGTCCTGGTCATAGGGCATCTGTAGGACTCTGCTGGTGCCTTCAGGGTTTTCCTCCCACTGGGCTTCAAGGGTTATAGTGTGTCAATTAAGAGGACACTGTAAGATGCACTTGTGGAGCTCAGCGTCATGGGTGCTGCTGCTGGGTAGGTCAAGGTGTGGTTCTAGGAGATACAGTACCAGTTAAAGGTTTGGATACGACAAGCCACCTACAAAGGAGAGTGATCCTGTTATATCACATGACCTGGCCATCTGAGCTGAGACAGTAGAAATGGTTTAAAGTAAAGTAAAGGTAAAGCGGCCAGTGAGAGCTCAGCATATACGTGGGACCTCCTTCAGCTATAAAAACATCCCAGGAGGTCAGCTGGCATAGAGGAGACAGCAGGGTCAGCCAGTCCCTGGAGCAATGGGGGTATAGGGCCTTACTCAAGGCCCTAATGGTGGGATCACTCTGCCGACCAAAGGATTTGAACTGGCAACCTCCTGAGTCCCAACCCATAGAACTGCCCCCCCCCCCCAATTATTACTTTTTAAAAAGATATTTTTTGGTCAATGTATATTTCCATGTTTTGTTTTTTTTTTAGTTTTGATGTCTTATTTCTAAAATGCAGAGAATAGTACAGATGGGTTCTATGGGTAGGTGTTTCCTGGCCTTTTGACTTAGTGCTCTCAGGTAGTCTGCCCAAGAGGGAGCTTACAGGTATTACTCCACCCGGCACCAGCCTCTTCCTCTCATACTGTTCATGGACACGACCCGCCCAACACTCTGCTCCGTCTGCTTCTCCTCTGCTGTCAGAGCGCCCTGGAGAGCCAGGTGTTCGACGAGAAGGACAAGGCCCAGCGGCTGCAGACTGAGCTGGATGTCAGCGAGCAGGTGCAGAGAGATTTCGTCAAGCTCTCGCAGACCCTCCAGGTAAGACCCCCCATCTGTGCACTGCTGCCTGCCCGGCTCACGTTAGCCGCCCCTCATTTAGAGAAGATCTTGTTTTATCAGCCAAGTCCCGAGGTCATGCCCTTTGCTGATGGGACCAATCGCCATGGCGCCCACCTAACCACACATCCCCAATCCAGGTCCAGCTGGAACGCATCCGGCAGGCCGACTCCTTGGAGCGGATCCGCGCCATCCTCAATGACACCAACCTGAGTGATATCAGCCAGCTTCCCGAGACATGATGCCCCTCACGTCCCGCTGCCCCCACTGCCCGCCAATCACCCAGGACCGCCTTGCCGCCCATCCCCCACCTCTGCCCGGTGATACCCTTTTATGAGTAGGGCTGTGGTTACTCGCAGCTGTGAGGGCATGAAGAGGGAGGGGAGCACATTTGCTTTTTTTATTGAATCAACATCCTGTTGAGGAGAAGACGCTGAACCAAAACAATAATTTTTGACAAAGAGCGATGACAGGCTGCCCCGTACGCAGATGTGTGCGCTGGGGTGCGTGGGTGGGGGGCACACAACACTACTAGCAATGTTGTAAATAGGTGTGAGACTGAGGCAGAGGCTATGGGGCCGCGGGCCCTTCCTCCCTCCAACCCCCATGAAAAAGACTGCCTCGTCCATCTGTCTTTCTGTCCGGTTTTGGTATGGCTCTTAATCTTACTGTCTGCGGGGCAGAAGGCTGCAGCTTGGACAACACTATGAAGGACACATGCATATACATATACATAAGTGTGTGGACGTGCACACACACACACACACACACACACACACAAACATTTATATCTGTATATAATAATAATATATACATTGGATCATTGAAGTCATCTTTCGTAACTTGTGTTTCTCTGCCCTGGATTTATGGGAAATGATCATTTGGCCTTCTCTTGGGTCCCTATCCAGCTCTCTTGCCCACCCCCCCCGATGTACCGCTTCTTTCCGTGGAACCGTCTCTAGCAATGGTCCTGTGTGACTTTCCGGCAGCTACTCCATTTGGTTTGGATGTCTCTTGTAAGAAATAATAAATGGACATATTGATTATTATTATTATTATTATTATTATTATTATTATTGAGATCGCTTTTCAGTGTCAGTATGGAATCTGGAATAAACCGTCAGTGGATAGACCCCTTTGCTACGTTGATCTTCAGTGACCCACATTGACCAGGATCTTATCCCCTGAGTGTTCTCCTGGGCTATGTGCTACAGATCCACAGCTTTTCACAGTGCAGAAACTCACAGCACTTTTCTGTTTTTATGTAAAGCCCAGTGTGACCTTTGCTGCCAGTATGGTTAGGAACTGAATTACCAGGTCATAAAGCCAATCCCACTTTATATGACCAGAACAGCATTTTTCTCCATTGAGAACATTAATTAAACAGCTAATTTATTGGCTAAAATAACTGAGATGTAACCCCTCCATTAGGGTTGGTATCAGGGTGGGCGTGGCCTCCTGAATACAGCAGAAAGCTTGTGTGACCCTTTCAATCACACAAGCAGAAGTATGTCCAGATAGAGTTAATGTTGCTTGAATGTGACCATAAATATACCCCCCTCCCCCCAGTTAAGGCAGAATGGCTCACTAGCGTTGATACAAAGGTTTTGGGTTGGTGGGTTTTCTTTGTTCTCATGAGTCTGGCTATAGGGTCTCCTTACATCTTCTGATGGTTATTGCAGGCAGGATTGTTGATTACAGCTCATGCCCAATTGGTCACTTTGCTGAATGACTGAGATTGAACTTAATGAGGCTGTTTGCTCCATTCAGTCCATGTGCTGTTATGATGTCCCTCTTTTTGTTAATGATGTGGGGTGGGGGGCATGGTTTTAGAGATCCTCAGACTCCAGACTGACAGCTAGTCGCAACACTACTGACACAAGCGACCAGCAAGCTTCAGAATTGCCACGCCTCTGAAACCATTTGCAGAATGGAGTTTTATCAAGAGAATATTTTTACTGCAGTTTGCTAGCCCATAATACGTCCATGTTGTATTTTTTCCCCTGACATGCCTGCTTTTAGTCTTGTGATGAAATGATTCATATTTGTGTCCAAAATAACCTTCACTGGAAAATATTTTACTTTACTTGGAATTTAATATCCGCTTGTGCATTTTGTACACAGGATATCAGTCCCAATTATGGTTCATCTAATTACTGACCTTGCATGTGTCTGGTGCAGAGCTCTTTAGAATAAAGTCCTGACTGTGTCTGACTCATACAACGGTGTCTTCTGTGGGCTGCCGGGGTGTTCAAGTCAGAAGGGCTTGCTGGTAAATGTCCCCAGCATTGCTTCCTGTATTGTATTGAGGCTTTACAGGGGCTACTCGTACAAAACTGTGAGTCTGTATGTGCGGTTTGTTGTGTTTAAGAAGAGCTCAGTGCAGCAGGTGGACCAGAATTGCTGTTGGATTACGATCCCCCCCAACCCCGTTACAATGCCCGTGTGATCCTGATGCGTCAATTCGTGCTGTTTGGCAGGTGGTAGTGCATCCCACAGCTGTGCAGCGAAGGACCAGGCGGATGAACTCAGCCAGATGGAATGAGAAGGCTCCAGACAAAATGAAGGAGCCAGAAATACAATGCTCCGCAGGATGTGGCTAAGCATCATGTCTTTCCAGCACGGGCTCAGAGCTGTGTGTGATTGCCCACGTCTTGTCCTGCCAGGTTTATTTTTCCATCACTGATAGTAACCTGACCTAGCATCTGAATGAGAAACTGTGCTGTCTTAAATGAATCTCCTCTCACATGGTTTAACTACATGAAACTGCAGACAAGACGGATACCGTATTGACTTTGATAGCTTAGTTGAGCAATGTCATCAGAATCCTGTAGTCTTAAAGACACTTCTACTTTCAGCCTGGACACTAAAGACCGAAAGACGAGATGATGCATGCCGAGCACCCTGAAAATCCTGTTCATACCACACTTAGCGTGACAGCCTCTGTTGTTACACTGTCCTTTAGGTAACTAGATATTCTGAAGCAGTTTAGATTGATTTTCTCTGGAATTCTGCTGAGGTTGAGAAAAAAGAAAAACTAGCGGCTGTAAAAACAGATGTTTCTTAGTTAGATCCTGATATGGGGATTCCCAGCTTCAAAGTCCATCCACTTAACGGTTCTGTCTGCATGCTTCACTGCTGTTGGAGAGCTCCTTGCAAACCTACATACTGTACTGTGTACATATTTCTGTATATACCTAATAAATCAGATTGTAATTTCAGCCTGCATGGTTTTCTTTATTTGCAAGAACTGTCATCCCCTCATTCAAGACGACATCTCTCTCCCTTCTACTTTCACAATTCGGTCCCCACTGGGTAACACCAAGATACGAATAAGGGTTAGCAGGAAGATTTGAGAGAAACAGGTGATGTTGAGCCCATGACTTTCTCAAGCACGTGGTGGCATTTCCAGGAAGCTGGGCAGTGATGCAGCAAGGCGACTGCCAGTCACACATCCTCCATGACTCGGTCTCTACACAGATGACCACCTTCTGATCTTCATTCTTTTTAAGTCGTCAAAAAGCCCCTTGTCAGAAGGAGCAGAGGGAGGGGGGGATTTCACAGCATGAACTTTATTCTTCAAATTAAGTAGACATATAAAAAAGTTTCGGTATGTATACAAGTCTTTTTTACAGGACAACATGACCGTGTTAGTTTTCACCACTAAGGTAACCCATTAAAAAGCCACAGTTGTCCGCAGGCTTCTTCCATCATCTTTGAGCAGTGCTGCTGAGATCGGCTTTGTCTCGACTAAGGCTTCGGGATCTGCGGCAGAAATGCCTCCAATAACAGGAGAGATTCAGATGGGTCAGGGTTACGTCTGGACCTGCAGCAGAACCCGATCTGAGCAGAGAAGCTTCAGAAGCTGAAATGATTCTTGATGTCCTTGATCTGCTTCATCATGTCCGCGATGTGCTCGCCCCTGTGGAGACAGTCCGTCAGAGTGAGTAGACGATATGCATGGGGCCTGTGAAACCGGGTGGGTTTCAGACACTCACTGCTCCTTCAGGACTCCTTGGATGCACTTCCGCTGGTGGGGGCTGAGCACGATGCTATCCCTGGTGGGCTTCACACCCTCTCTCGCCTGCTTCTGCTGATATTCCATCTTCATGTTGACCTGGGGGACAGCACCTGGGTTTAGTACCTCAGTGGGTTCTATTTTGGAGGAAAACTAACCTGTCTGACCTGCAGCAAACTTGTGCTCGTCATTGAGGGGACTTACACCCAGCTGCCCTCAAAGTTCATAACCTTAGTTTACGGGGGGTAGCAGCATCATCATGGTAACTAGCTACCCGACTTTAGCCTGGTGTTTATTTTCGACCACATTGCTTGTTTGAGACAGTTGAGGTATTCTGTTATTAGTCTAGGCCCAGCGTGTCTGTGGCACCACCTTCCTCACACCCCATTGCAGTGTTTATTGTACCAGATATTCACTGGGCCAAGAGCATGGGGATCCTCCCTTGCTGTGACGTAGCCCTGGCTCTGGGGAAGGCCCATGTTCTGACCTGCTTGATGCCGTTGTCTAGATGGCGTAGCTGGTCACTGATGGCCTGTAGCTCGCGCTGCATGTCCCGTTCGCTGTTGGAGAGCACTGGCAGCCGGCGACACAGGCTGCTCAACAGGTACTTCACCCTGCCGTAGAGGGAGTGTATTTTAGCCAACTGGCACTGTGGGCCCAGGCTTCTCCGACCGCAGGTATGGAAGGAAGAGAAACCTGTTCATGGTGGCTTCCTGTCGATACCGGGCATCTTCGTATTTATCTGCCAGCCGCTCAGCGGACTCACGCAGGCTCTTCCTGCAAAACGGGGAAGGAGGGACGCAGTCTTTCAGTAAGACTTCGCAGGAAATTTTTTGGAGGTTAAAAATAAACAAGTTAGTTCCTTTCTGACCATCTACTCTGTTGCACAGCTAAAGGGCCAGGAAACAAGAAGTGTTCAATTTTACATAATAAAGTCTAGGGATAGAGAAACAAATAATCACCACCAACCCTTATTCTACATAGCACAAAAAGAAAAATAAAATGCACAAGAGAAAGAACAACTAAAGGGGTCAACAAATGACTACATAACACACAAAGACCCACACCCAGTCTCCCTCCCTACAGAGTCTTATATAGAATACCAATTAGCAATTAATTATAAGATAGGCCAATTAAGATCAGCCACACTCTTCCCAGTAGGGCCTGGAGAAAACGTCAGGGTCGTCACAGCCCCACATTTGGACGGAAAAACCCTAGATGAGTGAAGCTACAGGACTGACCAGTGAGCCATTCTGCCCATAACTAAAATTAAATAAGTAAAATCATCATCAGCATGATCACCATTATCATGAGACTGGGATTCAAATCGGCGAGCTAGTGGCCACAGGCAGTGACGGATGCATTGTTACGCATGAGCAGTACAACCTTCAGAATGCTGTGGGCATGGGGGCCACAGGCCGCCGAGCTGCTCACCTCTCCTCCCGGCACAATGCCAAATCCGCCAGCTGCTTTTTCTTCTGTTCATTCAGCAGCTTCACCCTGGGTGGTGATCGAGTGTGAGACGGACCATCAAGCCATAGCAGCAGGTGTCAGTCTAAAACGGCAATATCCTAACGCCGCCAGCCTCGGTGGCTTGGCATGCACCGTACCTTCTCTGCATCTCCTCCCGTGCTGTGTCCTGCTTGAGGATGTATTCCTCCCGGAAGACCTGCGTGGCCCTGCTCAGTAGCTGCAGGCACTCTGGAGGAAGCGGAGAAGACGTCTCCTTGTCCCCGGACCTGAAACACAGCCTGTGGGTTACGGCTCGGCTGTGGACTTGGGGCTGCGAGCAAACTGGACTCTAGCTTGACCGGCTGAACGTGCTTCAACAATCACCTCCCAGCCTATATCTTTAAAGTGAAAAATGACAGTTCTACTACAGGAGACCATCACAGTTGACCCAAAGCAACCTCACAATGACATCACGGCAAATCAAAGGTTTACCTGAGCAGAAGGGGGTTCGTCGAACTTCGCGCCAGGATGTTGCGGATGTGCTGCTCGAAGGAGTCGCTGCCCAACCCGCACAGCGGAGAGCTTCCAGGGGCCGGCCCCGGGTGTGAGCAGAGCAGGGGAGGGGAAGGGGGCCGGATGGAACTCCTATTAAGGTAAATGCAGACCAGAGATTACGGTTGCTAAGGCACAATCTTCCCAAGAGGGCACTTTCCTGGGACGGGTAGGTGGCAGCCTTACAGCAGTGGCAGCAGCAGGCACTCGTAGGCACTGGTTATGCAGATCATGGTAGCCCCCAAGGACAGGTCTGACACGATCCAGAAGCCTCGGATCGGGGCCGACAGGCTAGGGCACAGGGAACACAGAATGTCAATGTGGGCTACACAGACTCTGGATTCCCAAAGCTGACAGTATTGGTACTGCAAGTCGCCCGAGCAGGGTTTCCTCTTCATGTGGGACGCTGCCCCATGGTGGAGTAGGCTCGGCTAAGGTGCAGGAAATAGGAAACTAGGGTACCACCACGCGTCATCACGCCAGGAAGTTCAACCTGTTTTAACACATCACAGGCTTCATACACTTTTTGATCGACAAATGTCGTTTTTCATGACTTCTCCAGGACTTGAAGCTAAATTTCCAAGAATCGATTCAAAGTTTTTTTTTGTGCCACCTATTCAGGAAAAGTGAACCAAGTTATGTGATCATCATCGTGTGACACCATTACAAACATGTACTTTGTGTAGAGGAACCAGATATTTTGATCTTGCATTCATCCTTTGGATATGTATGTTCTAGCCATCACCAGATAATTAATCATTAATTTACTCTTTACATTTGCCATAACAAGAAACAATTGAATTTTAAAAGTGAGTGCTGAAAGACATTGTGTGCACTGTCAGAATCACCCTACTGTGTATGTCACAAAAGTAAGAACAAAATAAGTCAACTTGAAGTGTACCCAATGTGTTGCAGAATGCATAAAAAAGACAAATAATGCCACTGTGCACTTTGCATATAAATATGTACAGGGGTTGGGCAATGAAACAAACTGGAAATATAGTGTTTGAGGTTTCACGCCTATATATATCATGGTCTGGTGGCCAACCTTCACTGACTTCAAATTCCATCAGTAAGAGCTGAGAATGAAGGTTCTATCAGCAGAGCAATAGCACAGCTGTACAAAAAATAACTGCAATCCACACAACATAATGGGAGACAGAGTTCAAACGAGGACATATTGTTGGTGTGCATCTTGCTGGTACATCTGTAACCAGGACAAGTCTTTGTGGTGTATCAAAAGTCACGGTATCCAGGGTCATGTTGGCATACCACTACAAAGGACAGACCACATCTAACAAGAGTAACTGTAGACAAGAGGAAGCTGTCTGAAAGCGGTGTCCGGGCACTAATCTGGATTGTATCCAAAAACCCACGAAACACAGCTGCCCTACTCACTGCAGAATTAAATGTGCACCTTGACACTCCTGTTTCCACCAGGAGTTCCACAGGGTCAATATTCATGGTCAGGCAACAATAGACAAACATTTGGTCACTTGTGCCAATGTCAAATGTTTGTTTCAATGGTGCCAGCAGCATGGTCATGGGCTATGGACAATGTGAAACATGTACAATTCTCTGATGAGTTCACCTTCGCTGCCTTTTCCACATCCATGTGTGTTATGTTGTGGAGAATTCCCAAAGGAGCATACCACCATGACTATTGAGTACCCAGAGTGCAGCTTGGGGAGTGGATCAGTGATGGTTGACTTAGATGGGCACATCACTGCCAAAGACTACCGAAGCATCCTGAAGGACAATGTTCACCTAATAGTACATCGTAACCTGAAGGTGGTGGCGCGTATCAGGATGATAATGCACAAATAAGCATAGCAAGACTAGTGACAGAGTGGTTTGATGAACATGAAAGTGAAGCTGAACATCTCCCATAACCAGAGGCATCAGATCTAAATATTGAGCCACTTTGGGGTATTTTGGAGGAGTGAGTCAGGAAACGTTTTCCTCCACCAGTGTCACGTGGTGACTTGGCCACTATTCTACAAGCAGAATGGCTCAGAATCCTTCTGGTCGCAGTACAGGATGTGTATCTGCCATTCCCAAGATGAACTGATACTGTATTGACCGCAAAAAGAGGCCCTACACCATACTGATATATTATTGTCGTCTAAAACCAGATGTTTCAGTTTCATTACCAAACTCCTGTAGAAAGAAAAGCTCCTTGGGTGTGTGGCAGCTTTT